GCACTGAATCCAGGCGCCATTGCAATACCCCGCAACTGACAAGACGGCGGTCAGATACATTTTGAAAAGTGCTCGCGTGAGTATGCCCTCCGTGTTTTAATGTTCAAACTTTATATAATCAATCAATAGACAAACAGATTATCAAGCTAATCGGTTAGTCAATAAATCCATGACAAATTACCAGATGAATCCGTTAAGCCATACATAGACAAACGATTTGTATACACACATTGTAGACGGAATCCGTGTAGCAATAAATCGATATGTTGTAGACGGAATCCGTTTAGCAACAAACAGATACATTGCAGACAGAATCCGTTTAGCAATAAATAGATACATTGTGGACAATCCGTTTGGCAATAAATAGACAACCTATTGTATAGATTAATTCTAGATGGACTAAATGAACTGACGGACACTACAATAGCATAGGCAAATAGAGCAAAGCGCCTCACCGCATTACTCTGCAAATGCCCTAATTTCCCCTAAATGGAGCACGCAAAAACTTTGAAAGATAAGACCAGCCTTAGCTTTTGTCTTTTTCACATTTGACGAGTGATGCGGCGAGGCCCAGATACATCCCAAACACAGCATCAAATGTACAATCGACCACATGGAGAAAACGGAACCATGAATACGTGCACTGGCTTAAACATAAAAAGGATGAAAAGGACAGGAGAGAGGAAAGGTGGAAGGTTGACAAAGAAGAGAGAGAGAGAGAGAGAGAGAGACCGAAAGCACTCCGCACAAACTAACAGACGAATAAAATAAGGGATAAACAAAACGTTGATGCTTGCGCGCCGACTCGAAAAATACAGCAAACGGGAGGCCACTACATATACCACGCGAAAATGGATGAGCATCGAGCCAAGGTCACAGAGACATACGCCAAATGGCTTAAACGCCAAATGTGAACAACGAGCGAGACCCACACGCAAAAGTCGTTGCGAAGTTATAGATTGCTTTTCACCAATCGCATTTTTTTAATTTATTTTTTTCGCGACCAATCGCATTTCAGTTTGTTGGGGGGGAATAGAACGGTCCCAATGGTAGAGCGATGGTCTACAATAAACAAATAAAACCATAAGAATCGTTCCTACAAGATATGTTCAATCAAACTAACCTTTCGCCTTTCCTTCCGTGTCACAGGTAACGTTCACAGGCACCGCATTCCCCCGAATAGAACGTACGGTGATTATCGCCGTATCTACACTGAAAGTCGCCCCAAATACACGGCATTATGACTGTACGTTCTATTACGGGGAAGAAGGTAGCACGGGAGGAACTTAATTTTTCCTTTCTCTGTTCAGTTTTCGTTCCTTTCTCTATTCAGTTTTCGTATACGCGCTGACTGCTATGCGTCATTCTTTTCTTTTTCCCCACCACTGCCCTCTATGTGTCGTCGGTTTTTTTTTTTTTTTGGGTTCTCTTCTCAGATGTCACATCTTCCGATCGACGCAATCAGAAATATTCAGAGTTGCATCTAGATTCGAACTTGCCACTTAGGTCTTTTTTTCCAAACTGCCTGCTATGTGTCGTCTTTTTGTTTTCCCGTCATTCCTGCTGTCGTTCACATTCGACTGCCCCCACTCGGCCGTCGTTCGCTTTTTACCTTTTTTTGGGGCTCCGGCCTTGAGATATCGCTTCTGAACAACCGACCGCAGGTAATTCAGCAGTATTTCATTTTCATTCGAGTAAAATCTAATTCCACGAGGGTTCAAATTCAGGTCGGCATTTGACCAGTTCATTGGTGAATAAACTAAGCGAGGTCAGAAATTTAAAAACCAGTCGCGACTCCTCTGCCACCTCTGTTTCCGGAAAGGAAACCAATCGCGACTCCTCGCTCCAATTCGACATTCTACATGCATTTGGACTCTTTCTGGACTAGATGCGTTTGGACGAGTCCAACATTTTGAATATATCAGGACGATTATGAGCTCTTGTATTACAAGTAGACTTGTGTAGTGTAGTGAGGCCCATTCTCCCGAGTTCCTTCTACATGTTCACTAATTCCCAGGAGCCATGTTCTCTAATTCCCGGGGACCTGATTTCGAGGAAAATGAAATCGGAAATAAGTAAAAATGTAAAAACAGCTCCCTGAAGATCTAGGATTCGAATCCCCTTTACCACCTTGCTAAGAAAAGAACGGAGCTTACTGTAACCGTCATCTTGCTACGAAAAGAACGGAGCCTACTGTAACTGCTGGACTGGGAATCGAGAGATAAGGGCCTCGTTAGACACTCCTCAGGGACCTGATTTCGAGGAAGATGAAATCGGAAATGAGTAAAAATGTAAAAACACTCCGAGGACAAATCCTTGGGCTCCGAGGATTTCCTAGCCATTTAGTCCTTGGCTCCATGGGACCTTGTGACGTCCCTTCCCACCTATTTGGTCTCGGAGCTTGGAAGGACCTGAGAGGTCCCTTCCTACCCATTTCGTCCTTGGCTCGAAGGGACCTCGTGAGGTCCCTTGGGGCCCTCGTGCAAGGAGAGGGCATGCACATAGTGGTACAGGCATGCACGTCAAGGTACGTTACAACTAAGAATCTGGGCCGTGGAGGCACCCTACTGGCTGGATGCCAAAACTGTTTGTCGTTTTTTTTCCTGACATCTCTTAGGACCAGGGTGAACATCACTCTTAGGACCAGGGCGAAGCCAGAAGCACAACTGCTTTCCTTTTTCCTTCTCTTTTTTCCTTGACATCTCTCTAGTCGTCTTAGTCCTAAAGCCGACGCTCCGAGGATAAGTCTAACGGACGGCACCCAGAAAGCCAGAAACACAACTGTCTTTTCTTCTCTCCTTTTTTCTCTTTTTCGGACATCGCTCTTATTAGGACTAATCCTAAAGCCAATGCTCCGAGGGTGAGTCGAAAGAAGACGATGAAAAACCTATTTTTTCCAAGGATTCATCCTTGAGGACGGTCTTGGAGTGTCTAAAGAGGCCAAAAGTAATGGACAGCCAAAGCAGGAGACTTCGACACACATCTCGTACCCTGTGCATTAGCAAGGATATAATTTACCACCATATAAAAGAACAGACAACTGTTTTTTTTTATGTATAGAGTGTGACCATGTCTCGATTTCCCCATTTCCCCATTTCGTAACTTTCCGGCCCCGTGTACACAAGCCTGCCCCGCTATCCTCTCCCGTGTCTTGCCTCGCGAGCAGGCGAGAGCTAACTGTCAGTGCGACAACAAGCCCTTCGCGAGAGCTGACTGCCTTCGAACAATAAGTCTTCCAGAAATACACGGACTACTCGCAACAGTCCCCCTATCCTCCTTTTTTCTCATACTTTTCTTTCCTTTCCCTCCTGCACCTCGATCAGATACAATGCTGTCTGCTACACGCAAGCAGCATTGTGATGCTGGCTATTGTGTGTTAGAAACCCGCCCAGCCACGCTGAAAGCCAATCAAATAGAGATAACCTCATCAGCAGCTTCCGAAAATCCCCTCCGAAAAAAAAAAAAAAAAAAAAATTCCCCTCCGAGGGCCTACGTTACCCTACTCTTACCACGGTCGAACGCCCACAACAACGCAAGCCGCATTGCAATATTGATTATTGTGAAAAGCCCACCCAGTCACACTCGCAGCCAATCAAATCAAATATAGGCAACCTCATCGTCGGCTTCCAAAAATCCCCTCCGAGGGCCGACGTTACCCTACTCTTACCACGGTCGAACGCCCACTACACGCAAGCCGCATTGCATAATTGATTATTGTGAAAGGCCCACCCCGCCACACTCGCAGCCAATCCAATCAAACATAGACAACCCTCATCGTCAGCTTCCGGAAATCCCCTCCGAGGGCCTACGTTACCCTACTCTTACCACGCTTCGAATGCCCAAAACAAGAGATTCAGTGAAACAAAGCGGTTCCTCGACAGCCCCTACTTGAAGTCTGAAGTAGGGGAGACTCCCGTCCAATGAAGGGCACGAACACCCAGATAGAAATGTCAACGTGAAGAAAGGCAAACCCTCTCGACGCCGGTCTTCTCGATCTGACGCGCTAGCGAGGACACGTGACAGACAACCGATTTCGCTCTCTTGGTTGCGTATGAAGAGGGTCTGCCTTCGCAAAAAAAAAGAAAAAAAAACAGGGTCGACAGAGATGGCAGGAACCACGAGAGCAAGGACAAGACCGCTTGAAACAACTCGCCAACCCACGGCTGTATCTAGTCGTCACCGTGGTGAGATACATCCATTAACATTCTCATACGCACGCAATCTGCGACTACTTGCACGCTTCTCGCAGCAAGAAGGAATCACAGCTTCCAAGATAGAACCAACCACTCGTGATCATTCGAGTCACAGAACCTCACTCAACTACTACTACAGATCCGATACGTACGAGCTGGAGTGGTCGTCCAGATACACTGCAACCGATCAAACATTTTGAATGTATCGGGACCAAACCCGGCTCCACACACATTCCAATGTTCTTTTGTCCAGCGCGGCCCGTTGACGCCGGCGTTTCAAAGCTTGCTCAGCGAAGGTTCGGTTCGCGCTTCAGGCTTTATACTTCAACCTTTCCCCTTTCAGCTACCGCGAACAACTGCAAGCACACTTTCGCAGCCATTGCTGTACGAGCTCAAATACTCCGCCGCCGACTCAGATACTTACGTAAAAGCACAAACACGCAAGGAGACTTCACCAAAATGTATTTAAAAAAAACAAAAAAATCCACCCTTACAAAAAAAAAAAAAATCAACCCTTCACACTGCGCGCCAAACCAAGCCCAGAATGCAGTTAAGAAGTACTATAATATTCACACCCGCCACAGACAAGGAGAACGTGGCTGACCCAAATACCTACGTAAAAGCACAAACACGCAAGGAGCCTTTTCCAAATTTCCACTTTTTACACTGCGCGCCGAACCAAGCCCAGAATGCAGTTCGCAAGTACTGATTCACACCCACCACAGACAAGTAGAAGATCAACGGGGAAGGAAAAAAAACTAAATGAGAAAAAAGGACGCCCGAAAATCAGAGAGTCTAGTTTCTTACCTTCACTTTCTCGACTCGCCTTTCCAGGTTCGCTTTCTTCACTTGCGCACACGTATGAAAAGAACATAATTCCGAGCTGCGCCTGCCATACGTGTATAGTCCATGAATCCCGAGAGGTGACGTCGTAGGCAACAAGGATGCAAACACCCGACGGACGTGTTCACGTTCCATGGTCTTCCGTTATCATCCGTTATCTTCTCCAGGCTTTCCACAATGACGAGTAACTTGACACTAACGGACGAGCGAGACGAACGGCTTGGAACATCGATGATATGATATTCTTCCAGGACACATCCGAGACATGAGGAGCGAAATTCAGCCCTTTGCCAAAACAGCAATCGCTTGATTGACCAGCACCGCTACATGCGTTTCTTTCGCGAGTAATGGCGACTCACCCTGCAATGGTCCATCGCCCAGCAGCAGCACTACGTACCTCCCTCGGTAACCCGTTCAGAACGCTCACCCTGCGGCCAGGTTTCTCCTCGTACTCTCCGAGCTGGGACCACCACCGTACACCAGTTTGAGCTCATCTCCACGGCTTGATTGCGCATCCCCCTTCCCAATTCAAAAAAGAACGGAGCTAGCGAATCGCGGAGTTGATTGGCGCACCGGCAGACGCACTCGCAGCTCTCACTGAAGTGCCAAGCCTGCACATGGCAGCAGCAAGGGGAGGTATGTATTTGCAAAAAGCATAGAGCCGACACCCAGCTTCAACCGAATAGTACGCGGGGTCATTATCGGTGTATCTATAATCTGAAAGCTGCCCCAAATGCAGCTCGAATGACCGGGCGTTCTATTCAGGTGAAGACGGACATCTCGAGAAGAAATCGCCTGACCTCCCGCTGATGACACTCCACTACGCGACCATTTGGCGTTCCTCTCCTAACAACCCATCTCCTCTGTCTTCCCAGTTGGCCAAAGATAACTAATTAATCACGGCGTCCATTTGCGCACTGCTGACGCTTTCGCAGCTCCGACTCATTGATCGAAATCACTACGTGGCAGCAGTCATCCATTTCATATTTGAAGACTAGTTTCGACTACATCTGAAAGACAAGCCGTCTGGCCTTCCGTTAGTGAAAAGCTACACTCCGCTACTTTTTCGCGCCTCTCTAGCCCGTCTCCCCTAAGGCTTCCGTTAATGAAGAACTACACTCCGTTTGCCATCCCTGTAAGGCTGTATCCCCTCCCACTTCGATGTGAAAACGACCACCTCCATCGTTTTCCTCGTCCTTCATTCCGCATCTACAATGACTTCCTGTTTCTTCGTTTCCAGATCTTTAGTTCCACTACGGACGATACAACCGCGTCGCCCATAGCAGCCCTCTATTCATGGCCATCCCTTTCAATCGCCGTCATGCAAAATCACCCATAGCAGCCCTCACACCGTTCGACTATCCCTGTCTCCCAAATCTTCTCCCTTCTTCCACAGACACAGCCGCGCCCATAGCACCCCTCTGTCCATCGCTTCTCTCTCTCCATCCCCGCCCTCCATCACCACCATCCTTTCGAAGTGCTCGACCATCACACTATTCCCCCCCC